TATTTAGAACAATTTGAGAAATTAAAGAAATTACATATTGATCCTGATTAATGAATCAAGGAGAAAGAGAAGATATTGAAAGATAAGAATCTCAGGATTAACTTTAAGAACTTATGATCCAAATGGAAGAATTGTAAAATATAAACCCATAGATACAGGGTAAAGCTTGCAAATAAAGAAAGCAAGGGTAAGATAGTACTTTTATAGAAATCAATTTTATATTATTAAAAGACTTTGTGAGTATCTGGTAAGGATCTGGCAAAATCCTTTTGGCAGTGTAGCATGGTCCTTAAAAGAAATGATAGTTTAGATACAGTTTCTTTAGTTTGTAACTTCGATAAAAACTTTAAATATCTTTTGCACTTTGAAGATAGATAGTTTAATATAAGTAAAAATATAAAAACTTTAGAACTCAATTTAGAATATATTAAAAATCAGAACAGTGAAATATTAAAAAAGAAATTTTATGATACATGTGAAAAAGAAATTGACCCCAATTTAGAAAAATTAGAAAGTTAAAATATTAGAAAAAAGAAAAGTCAATAGATACCAAATAAGATTTAGATAATTTAATAAATAAACTAGAATAATTAGACTTAGGAAAAGTCAAAGAATTTAGTAAGTTCTAAAAAGTAAGTGAATTTATACGTAATGGATAAATGAAAATAAGTTGTAGCTAGTAGTAGTAGACTAGTAGGTAATCCTTTACTGAGATCTGAGCACATTAAGTAGAAAAATGAAGTCGGGAACAAGATTATAATCCTTAGTAGATATAAAAACTTTTAGATAGAATAAATTAAAATTAGTAAAAACTTAAGACATATATAAAAAAGGAAATATATTCAATAAATCCTTAATATATCAACATTATGGTGAAATATAGGTTTCTTGTACACAAAAAGATTAATTTATATCCCTAAATTTAATAGAAAACGACTCTTATAAAGACTAGTGTGGATCGTGCGTTGCACGATAACCGTTATAATTTTGTAAGAAACGTCATTATGACGATTATCTATTTGGAGACATATATATTAGTTACAACATTTTAAACTGCTATGTATTAGTTAAAACATTTTAATAATGTGAATAGTTGAGCGTGCAACATGATTATAGTACATTTTATTTCAACCGACTTTAAAAATGTTGCTACTTAGTCGATGCAGTGGAATAGAGAGACAAGCAACTTGAATAATATTAATAATTCAAATTCATTATTGAAGGTACGTTTGTACATCTCTTAAATGTGAATCAATCCCTACAAGCTAAAGAATTATAAAAGAAAAAAGCAAGAAATAGGACATAAATGGACTATCGAAGAAAAGCATATAAAATGGGAAAAAACAATTAAATTCAGATTGTCATGCTATTAGCCTTAAGTAGAAGTAGGAACAACCGAAAAGAGATCTAAACTCAATATGAAAATATAATGCTTGTTTTAAAGCATTGCTCAATTAGTTGTCAAGCCACTTGACTTAAAATCTGAAGCAGTTACCATTGTTTGCTCTAATACCATGTTAGATGACTACGACAAGCTGAATTAAACCTCAAGCATCATAGTTGACATATTTAGCAGGCAACAAAGGATGATTTATACATTTCAAAAGCAAAATACAAAGACATTCATCCCAGTTCATGACAGAAATCCAGCCTCAAAAACTAAGCTGAAATTCCTGAAGACGTGAAAATTCCAATAGGTAAGTTCCAAGAAGAAATATTTTTTTTCTTCAAAAAGGTTGCTGCTAAGCTAATTCACAAACGATTTTTGTCTTCAACAAAACATCAAAATCATCAGAAGCAACTTGATTTCTAATTTGAATTGGTGAAAGTCATCAACATTTACTTTTTGGTTGGATCCACATTGATGCTAGGGGAATCTCCAATAGTTTCTTCAACATTTGATGCTATCATCTTCTGTTTCTTCAGCTGCTCAATGCTTTCTTCTTCAAACACCAAATTTCTTCGAGCATTAGGTGCATTAGTGTGAAGTGAGACATTCTTTGTCTTTGGTACATATGGAGATGTCAATGGAGATCCCTTCATAGGTCCACAGTTTTTATCCAAAATGTATACGACATCGAATATTGGTTGGTTTGTTTTGGGGTCCAAAGTTCCATACTTCTAAATGAAATGATCTTCACTTGGACAATTCAACTCATGAGCATTTTTGAAATCCTCTGACTATATATAAGTTAATGAAGGTACTATGAATATATTTAAGTATATCAATATATTTAAGTATGAAATATTCACAAATGTAAGCATAAGGAATACTTTACAGTTACAAAATCCTTCATCAAAGTTTCAGCTGGCAG